GCGGCTCAAGCGTAGCTTGGTCCTTGACTGCATCATAGGTCCAACCGGTATGTGCAAAGACTTAGAGTCCGAAGGATCTTCCTCGGTTACGAGCCGTTCCTTAGCTCTTTGTCCCGAACCTCCATGTCCCAAGCTAGCCATGATCTCATCAGTGCTAGAGGAAACATTCAATGAGAAAATATGCTTATAATACACATGATACACTTGGAGATAACAACCTCAAACCATGTGGATACATTTTTTAATGGTGGAACTCCACAGTTGGTGTGGTGTATGAAGATAATAAGAAGATATGTTAACGGGACAATATTCATGTTATCGTTTAATATAATTGTTAGTTGTCTAATGTATGATGTTCTCATCTAAGTGAAGAATATAAACTTTTTGTTCTAGATTATAATATTTTGTTTCATCTAATAGAATTGTTAGTTGTGTACAAAATGTTTATATCGTCTAATAATAGTACATTAATCCTTGGGATGCATTCACATTATCATCTAACATAATTGTGATCTCTCCAAAGAGAGATTTTCTCGTCTATTAAAAAAAATGACCATTGGTAACATATAATATTATTGTTATCATCTAACGAAAAATACACTATCATGTATAATGGAGTTAGCAAGTTGTGCCGCATGCAGCTTTGGTGAGTGACGAGTCTGAAAACGACCACAAACAATTTTTTTCATTGGCATATCAGCTAATGCTTAAATTTTAGTTGATGTGGAAACTAAATATGATTTCGTCATTTTTGAAGAGAAGAGACTGGGCAAAAAACTGTGATGCAACCGACAAGTGTTACTTTGGGGTTGGAGAGCTCGATCTCGAGCTTAATAGTGGACATAATGTAATAACAGCTAACCAATTTGTTGGACGTAATGTAAATTATTGATCATTGAGTCTACAGTTTTGCAGCTTTGTAAATTGTTAGATGTGTTAATAAGAGGGTTTTTCCGATAGCGAAAGAAACTTCCTAAACGATGATTTAGAAAAAGAATATCAACTTCATCTTCCTCAAGAGCATTGAGGATTGACTTAATTCTCCTCGATTTGAGGTATGTGGTGATCCTAATTCCATCTAGTTTCTCCCCGACGGCAAACATACATTCGAAAAATTCTTCTATTTCCATAATTTCAAACACAAGATCGTGTAAATGGTTGTCGCCATCGAAATCTCCAGTGAGTCTTCAAAATCGAAAATTATCATTTCAAATTTTTTTATGATGATTAAAGCTATAAAGGAAACCGCCGACGAGATCTCTGGTGATACTTAACAATTTTCAGCCGCCCTAAATCTTTGTGACTCCCATATGGTTTAAGAGGATAATTGCAATTGTTTTAAGAAATTATTTGTCTTTTAGCCTCAATCACTTATAAATTTGTTTAGATTTTGATAGGAAACGCTTCTTTAAAAGAACAAAGAAACCCAGTAAAAAATGCTAACTTATATGTAGTTAAACAATCTTATATTGTTATATGTAAGTATAAATGTTATCAGCAACCATATGCTACTAGATATGCTCTGACACAAAATCGATAGAATGCAGTTTTAGGCAATATGGGCACAATCGGAATACACAAAAATGCATAGTTGCTCAAATAATGCAATGGTTATTTTGCCAATTACCTGATTATTTTTGCCTTTTTCGTTCAAATAATTTGCCTTTTTTAACGTCCAACATATCCAAATATGACTAGTGTAAACGATTATCAAATATGCAAGATTCCAGAAAAGCAAAAAACTTATTACCAAGGTGTAGCTTTAGCTGATATGTTAGAGAAGTACACTCTATTCCCTTCGATCTCATTTCCCCAAAAAGCTCACTCTCTTTAGTAACCTCTAAGTTACTGCAAAGTCCACCAATAATGGTGTAATAAGCCACAACATCATGGTCCACTCATTTTAACTTCATCTCTTCCCATGTCTTCTCGGCTTCGCTCATCACACCTAGACTTCTCAATTAAAACACAATAACTATACGCATTTGGAGAGTGCCCTACTTCCTCCATTTATCTCCATATCCTTCTTACCACCTCTGTTTCACCTTCGCTATAAAAACTCACCATCATCAAATTGAAAGTGCATGTTCTTAATCTTAACTATAAACTCCTTAGTTTCATCGACTATATTATCATCGAAACAAAAAACTTCTCTATTTAGTGTATATTCATTGGAAGCACCTCTACGGCTTGAAACCTCCGAGATCAAAGTACTAATCACGAACGATGCAGACCCATATGGATTGTAACTCTTGATCAACGACCGAAACACTTTGGAGACACCATCCATTTCAGTTTCTTCATCAACGAGACGGAGAGCGAGACGAATTACATCACGAGCGTGGCTCTTGAGAAGATATCGAGCGAGGATGTGGATGAGAGTTGAGCAGGAATCCATGTCATGAGGGTAGAGAGAGTGGCGGCGAGTGACGAGGAAGAAGCGGAGATTAATTATATCTAAAGAAAATTGGTTGATTTGCCAATTATAAATATAAAACTACTAGATTAATTAAATTTTTCGTCACTATATTTCATAAAATTATAAAAGAAAAATTCGCGTATCGCTCGAACCATAATCTAGTTTCACCAAATGCGTTGCTTTAGTTCTTCCAAAAAAAAAACACAAGCTGGACTCAAGCTAGGAAATAAGCTCGAGGCTCTGCCTCCGACTGGGATAGCTGTGGGTCGTCTGGTCTTTGTGGTACTCCCGGAATCAGAAATTTTTTGAAAACAGAACTACCTCAGAACACGATACAGTGTCTAAAGCTTTGAAAGAGGCTCGGGAATGGCAATTGGCCCAGGAAGGTGAAAAGGAGAAAGAGATGCAAGTACACGCAAAAATGTACCTCGAGCTCTCCCCGATGATGTTGTAGTCGTGCACACGGATAGAGCGTGGCATGAAGAAAAACTAATTGCAGGTTTGGGATGGACGTTTCAGCAACAAGAGCCATATAGCACAATTTTCACTCTGCTGGATCAGGGATCACAGTCCAAACAGTTCGTAAGTTCTCCTCTAATGACAGAAGCACTTGTTATCCGAATGGCCTTGACAAAAGCGCGAGAAAGAGGCTTCAACTATTAGAGAGGAAGAAGAAAAGGGGAGAGAGGCCGAAGTCATCAAGAAGAGGCAAGAGGCTTCAACTATTAGAGAGGAAGAAGAAAAGGAGAGAGAGGCCGAAGTCATCAAGAAGAGGCCGAAACATCTCCATGACCAAAATATTGAGCAAGGAAGAAGAAAGGAGAGTCAAGGCTTCAATGAGGACAAGGCCAAATATCTCCACATCAAAGAAGAGCTAAGGGCTGAAGAAGCCAAGCTCATGATCAAGTCAAGCCTCGGCCAAGCATTCACACATTGTGTGTGTGGATGTGTGTGTAGTCCAAGTCTCGGTTAAGCTAAGGAGAAGTGTGGGAAGTTAATCAAGGCTTATCAAGGCTCGGTTACATTGTGATAATGAGTCAAGACTGATCAAGAGAAGCCCAGCATTACCACACTCTCAATAGCAACCGAGAAGCATTAAACAAGGCAGATTGTGATCAATTCAAATATGGAGGGAACCAACGGCCACAAGATTCAAATATTATTGAACTAATCTGAAGGAAACAGAAGTCAATGACTCAACAGAGCTGTTGGAACTCAAACAAAGGAGAGCCACACGTTTTAAACTTAATAGAGCTGTTGGAACAGATGAAAGGAGAGCCACATGTTCAAAATCAAAATATGAACGTTATGTGCTGTCACTATCAACATTTGGTTGTGTGATTTTGCTCTCTCTCTCTTTTGTCTATATAAACCTTGTAACAGAACTGAAATGAAATAAGAAGAAGAAACAAGTATTTCCCTACTAAAATCGTGTTCTCTCTTCCTCTTACCTTGTGCTTAATCAATAGTCACAATGTAGATAGTTTAGGAGTCACGATTTAGAGGCTACCTTAAAGCAGCCTAATACTTGACAAACACTCACTAAACTCTTCTTTATTTACTTCTTAACTCTAGATTACTGATTCTAAATCCTCCTTATCTTAAAGTACACAAATTATAAGTGTTGTGTTACTAAGTCTCGGATTAGTCTCAAACTAGAGCTTCTTCTCTTTATAGAATAGATTTTCTCTCTAGTAAATTTGGTTCTATTTGGGTTTGTTGTGTTGATTCAACCACAAGTTGGTTGTCTCTTCTCTTGTTGAGAACGAGTCTCTTTGTGTGGATTAAGGGGATTCAATCACAAGTTGATTGTCTCCTCTCTTGATATGAACTTACTCTCATATATTCTAACATCAACAAAGTGTGCATTTTTTCTGACTCTCAAGTGGTAATTGGAGCTATTGGCTTCTCTAAACCGATCAAGGAACTTTTTGGAGTCTTACAAGATATTACAGCTCTCACTCGGTCACTCCCCTATTTCTTTTTTATTGATTTTAGACATATTTCTAGATCAAAGAATCAACTAGCTGATTCCCTTGCTAAAAGGGCTATCGCTCGCTCATCTGATGTATGTCTCTAATGAAGTAAGTTGAACAAAAAAAAAGAGAGAAACGATTGAAGTGTTATAAATAGATAATTATCCACAAGTATTATTATAGTATTGCTACATGGTTAAGTAATATTAGTTATGGATCATTAATCATACAACTTCTTCCTCTTGTGACCGACTCCTCCTCCCTATATAAAGGGATGTAAGCACTTGACAAGAGATAATAACATGAAATCTTCCTTCTCTTATCTCTCGCCCACATCTCTATAAATTCTCTCTCTCGTATCTTCTTCTT